AGATTATTCCTGGTGCATTCTTATATTTCTATGCTGACAACACAGTTGTTTATTGTCAAGCAAAAACTTTGCTACGGCCTTCAAAAGGGCCTTCTCCTACTCCGCTCCTGTATCCTGGACTATCTTACAAAAAGTTCTGAAGCTCTCAATCTTGACTTCTCTAAGTGGTTTCAAACAACTGCTAAGTTCACGGCAAAAACCAATGCAGACATGTTCCTGTTTTCTTTCATTTTCCTTTCATTTCTTCTTCTCTCTTCTCTTTTGTTGTCTATAATCATTCTTTGTTAAAGCAAACAACAATAAAAAACAGGTCTCTCTTGTAAATGAGTCCCCGTGACTCAGTGAGACTAACCTGTATAAATAAAGGTTGAATGAAAATGTACTTCTTTCTTGCAGTTCCTGTCACACAACACCAACAACTATCCGGAGCCAAAACCCAAATAGTAACAATGGTTGGACCATTGTACCCAGCCTAACGCACCATACAACATCCTGATTCACTGCATGAGGAATTTATTTACAGAACCCTCTGGGTAATGCAATGCCACGCTCTGATCACACACCAGCCCACTGCATGTAATTATCCTCAGCCTGCTCTACAATCTGTCACTGCCCAAACTCATTCGTAAGCATGCATGTACGGTGATTAAAGAAATCTTTATGCCACTGCAAAAAAAAGAGAGAGGAGGAGAGGGTGTGTGGGGGGTTCTGTCATTCCCCTCCTATACCTTCCTTCCTTATTCGGGGAATTCCTCAAGAATGAGACAAAGCTGCCGGAATACACCATGCAGACGTGCACAGATCGCCAACTTTGCATCAAAAGGCGCTGGTGCAGCAGTCAGGTCATAATAATTAAAGACATGCAGCATCTCCGGGCTTCATTAATCATGGTTTATATGGACTTTGAAGCCGTAATGAAAAACAGCTTGCCTTTGTGGGTTTATTGTGTCTGTACAAATTGTGGGGATGGCGAATGCCAAGAATGTCCCCGTCCTGACCGGCTGCTACAGGATGTGGTGATTGAAAACAAAAAGATAAGATTTGGTGGTTATGAGGAGGTCGGAGGTCAGGCATGTTCATGTAGTTTCCGAGGGGAGATGACAAAACGTCTGTGCTGACAGTTATGACAGAGTGAGGTTATGTTTTAAAGTTTGTATATTTTTAATAAGAGGCCACAACCTGTTTTTGACAAATAAGGAAATGAAAAGGCTAGTAGTTTTTGGAGGAATATCAAGAGATCCCGTAAAAGTTAAGTCAGGTCCTCTGGATGGTTTCTTTGTATTGAAACGTTTCATCCTTCACCCAAAGGACTTCATCAGTCATCTTCATCAGGCTGCCTAAGAGGAGTCAATTGGGGGAGAGGGCTGACTCCAGAAACCATCTTATCACCAGCAAACTGGTTGGTCCACTATGTGTGCTGCCTGTGGGACTGAGCTTGTTGTAGCTCCTCGGACTGATGAAGTCCTTTGGATGAAGGACGAAAGGTTTCAACAGAAAGAAACAATCCAGAGGAACTGACTTAACTTTGTTGGACATTTTACCTGGATTATTGAGCATGAACTTTGACATATCAAGAGAGTTTTGGTCATACCTTGAAAATAAACGTATCAATGTGCGATCTCAGGTGACATCATGTGATCTGTTAGGGCTCAGAGTATGTGCTGTGAACGACTCTCAGCTACCGCCACACCAACGTTTAGCTCAATGTCTGTAAAACTGGCTGAAGTTTAGCCGTTTATTAACATGTTTGAAACGGGCTTCTCTTTAAAAAAAAAAAAAAAAAAAAAAGGCAAACGTAAAGTGCTGGAGACTTGCTCTAACATGTGTCATCATCTTGATTTGCTTCTACTTTCTTGAATCCTCCCTGAGACCTTCGGTGTTTCTGGAAAGGGGGGGGGGGGTGCTTTTTCAGTGAGATCTGAGGGAGAGATTACTCGGTATTACGCTCTCAGCGCCAGAAGTGGAAATTACAGTGAGGACGGCAAAAGCCAGAGCTCTTTCTGCTTGTTTTCTCCCGGAGAGGGAGGGAGGCAACGCTTTACTCAACACATTTCATCCCAATGACTTGTGACGGCTCTTTGGCAAAGCTCTCAGTGGTGAGTTACAGCCAGAAGTATGTGCGGTTTAACTAAAACAGAGAATGACAGAGAGGAGATGACTGCTCAGGCCTCCAGCCCAGGACGCATGCATCTTCTCCCAGTAAAAGTCCTTTTTGGCAGGTTTACGTTGCATTAGCCCTTTTAGTCCAGGCAAATATACGGTAGAGACCAAAAAGGGGAGCATCCATCATCTCAAATGCAAAGGAGGATGTGCTTTTTGTTTTCTTGTCAATGACAAATCCGCCCTGCGAGTACAAATATCCCCTTCAGTGAACTTAATCGTGCAAATGTGTGTCTTTTCCAGCTCTACTGATTGCGTTCTACGAGAATCGACGAGCCAGTGTGTCCAGTTCGGCTCCACGATAAAAGTGAATTCTGTGTGGTAATGACCTGGCAGAGATTCACTTCCTCCCCAACAAAAGTTACTCACTTAGTGCCGGAGTTTATGGGGTGCATTTGACGACAGACGAAGGTCCGAGGAGTCTTTGGGAGTAAACAACTCAGGGTTTGACAGAGTTAAAAGAAGAGAGGATGACACATTAAGAAAAAAACATACCCTTTTTTAGGAGCCAAAATACTTCTCTTAGGACCGTGGAGTTGTCAGCGATACTCCCAGGTGAGCTCACACGGGGTCGTCCCTCCCCCACTTTTCTTCCTGCTGCCCTGGCCAAGAAGAAATTGCGTCCTCAGCTCTCTCTCTCTCTCTCGATATTCTGCTGGTAGTCAAAACAAAATTAGCGCAGGTTTATTATTTCTAGTTAGCTCATCCGTGACCTTTGCCTTCATCTTTTTGGAGGAGGGCGGGGGCGTTCAGCTGCTATCTTTCAGTCTGCAGGAATAATAAGGAGAAAGCGCAAAACAGGTAGCTGATTTAACTTGAATCGAGGCCAGTGAGACGAGTGAGATGGAATGAGAAATTATAACATATTCAGAGCTGTTATGAAAAGTGTCTGCGAACGATGAAAAGTAAAAAGTAAGCAGTTAAAAAAAAAAACTGTTCCAGACTCACAATGAAGATGAGATCAGGGCTTTGTGAGGGCCGTACCATCAGTTCTAGAACAAATCATTTAAACTAAACATTTTAATTAAACTGATTATACGTTGTGAGTCTTGCTGCGTAAGATCGCTAAAATTAGAAACATCTTATCTAAAAGTGATGCTGAAAAACTGGTTCGTGCATTTGTCACGTCTAGACTGGACTATTGCAATTGTTTGTTATCTGGGTGTCTAAATACTTCTTTAAAACGTCTTCAGTTGATCCAAAATGCTGCTGCCAGAGTCGAGTTAGAAGGAGAGATCATATCTATCCAGTTTTAGCTTCTCTCCATTGGCTCGAAGTCAAAAAGTCAAAGATTTTGTATTTGTTGTTCGCATCACATGTGATACATGTGGTGGAGCAAAACTGTGTACACAGGGTCCCATTTACATCCAACAAAAGTATAAATTGTAAAGGAAAACAGTAATAAGATCAAATAATTGTACACCAGAAATACACTAAACTAAGAATACACTAAGCACTAATAGGACAAAAGCAATACGCTGAACAACAGCAGCACGAACATGGCTCCCTGTCAAATTCAGAATGGAATTTGAAATCTAACTTCTAACCTACAAAGCTCTCAACAACCTAGCTCCATCTTATATTTGAGGTCTTATTGTTCCATATTTTCCTAACAGAGCACTTCGCTCTCAGACTGCAGGCTTACTTGCGGTTCCTAGAGTTTCCAAAAGCAGAAATGGAGAAAGCTCTTTCAGTGATCAGGCTCCTCTCTTGTGGAATCAACTTCCAGTTTCTGTCCGTGAGGCTGACACATTGTCCAGTTTAAGACTGGGCTTAAGACTTTCCTTTTTGATAAATCCTATAGTTAGGGTTGACTTGCTATGCTGCTATAGGCTTAGACTACTAGAGGACAAATTGACCTCATTTCTTAGTATGAAATATTACAATTGAATAGTTTTCATTTGATATTATTTCTATCTTAACTTGATTCTCGACCTGCCATTGTGTATCTGTTCCTCTCAAACCCAGCCGGTCGAAGCAGACGGCCACTTGTCCTGAGTCTGGTTCTGCTGGAAGTTTCTTCCTCATGAGGGAGTTTTTCCTTTCCACTGTCGCCTTCATGCTTGCTCAAGATGAGAGTCTGCGATGAAGTTAAACTCAAAGCAGTCTGCTCCTCAGATAAATAATGTTGTTAACTTACTTTTTACGTATGTATACAGTACAAGAACCTCCACTGCGCTTCACTGCTGCCTGCAGCTTTCTCCACAATAAACTGCCTTCTCCTGCACACCTGTTTTCAGTTTCCCTTTCAGCAAATACAAATGATAATAATCAGCACCTATCTGACTGAAATGGTAAATAAAAAAACTTGAATATGACCCTAATAAATCCCAGTTTTATTTAAATACGCTCATAAGAACTCATTTTGCCTTAAGAACAAAGAATCATCACAATAAATAATAATTTGTTGTGCATTTTCATTTTTGTTAGCTCACGTTTCAGTCTTTAAACTAATAAAATAAGCAGATTTCATTTCTGTGAGGGTACTCGTACAGTTTTCAACAGATGCTGAAAACTTTTGCTCAGTTCAGTCTGTCACTGTGAAATACTTGAATTTGACAGCGGTGTCTAAACTCAATGTTGCCAGGAAAAATGAATAAATAAATGTGATTATAGCACCATCTTGTGTTGATAAAGTGCATTACAGTATTTTACAAAACGTGCCAACACAAAGAAGGAACATTATGAATGAGCTCAACCAGAAAAAACATGATCACCTGACTTTACCTGCATTAACCTGATGACTTAACATTAAGCTGACTGTCTGCACCGGTTATAGTCCTTTTGATAAATAAGTGTTTATCATTCATAGCTGGTAAAATAGTTTAAAAGACCCTCGGTCAAAACTGTAAAAATGTCCTTAATCTGTTTGCTGTCGCTGTTTCCGTCTTCAGTCCATCCACCTCATCGAAGTCAGGGGGTCTAGGATGCAGGAAGCGATAATACAAAACAAGGCACAACAACCCCACCAACAAACCTCCATAGATTAAACCACCAACTGTCCAAAAATATGTCGTGCTCTGCAGCTCAGGCTTTAAAAAAGCCAACAGTAAGGGAGCCGCGACACTTACAACGCTGTGGAAAAAGTAAAAAATAACCATGGCTTCTTTGGTGTTTTGTCCTTTTACGTTAAAAAAGCTGAAAACGAGGATAACTCCCACGACAGCGCGGTACAGAAGCTCAAGGACTCTGGATGAGCAGAAGTCGGTTTGCAGCCAGTGAGCCCACGTCGTTCCCAGCAGCCAGAACAAGGTGAACGCTATTGTGCTGTAGATGCTGAGCGTGAGGAGGAAGCTGTAGCTGAGAATCACACTAGAGATGGTGCCGAGTTTGTAGAAGAGGTAGACGGCTGTGGGAACGCCTGAGGGCATGTCTCTGATGTGAGGAAGAGACCTACGGAGGTTGCGTCGGTAGTCCACCAAGGACCAGGCCATGTTGCAGAAAGAGAAGGCCACGGAGATAACTGAAAATATAAAACACACGAGGTCTAAATGATGATTCTGAAACGCTAAATTCACAGATTCGGTTTATCTGACACTACTTACTTCGCAAAAGTGGCCACTCATGACGTCCTTGTATATAGAGCTGTAAAAGGAGTTGAGGAGCACCTTCCAGGAAGGTCTCAAACAGCTTCAGCATGCTCAGATCAGTAGCCATGCAGAAAAGTCTGAGGTGCCTTTCTGGAACTTCTGCTTGGTTTGCATTTGTTGTCGTCCAGAGCTCCTTGAATCCTTCTTTGAGCAGGTGATAATACCTAGAACAAAGTAGAAAGGGCATGTAATTATTCTAATAATGAACTGAATTCTTTCTCTGACAGCTGCACCGATGGTGACGCCTTTCAGAAGCCGTTCCCTGACAACAGACAACACGCTGCAGAAAAAAATGTGGTTATACCAGTTTACATAAACCATACCGCTATGTCATGTGTCGCAACGTACCTTGTGAAGATCCCCATGCCAAGCACGTGCAGAGCAGCAAATTTCCTCTTCGACATGCCGGCTGTCGTTTCCTCTCCATTCCTCGTATCGTCCCAGAACCAGGCGTAGCTGAAGATCTGGGTTACGAGCATCCCACTCAGGATAAACATTACAGTCAGTCCACTCCACGCATACTGAGCCTCTTGAAAATATGTCAAAGCCAGCGCAACGTCGGTCCCAATGTCCCCCACGTACAAAACCAAACCACCAACGATTAATAACCACTGCAGTTTGGAGAACTGAGTGTCTGACTGCTGCATCCTGGCCTCGGTTTGAAGACGTTTTCTGGTTAAATAATCACTTTATGAATAAATTTGCTTTGAAATTTCCAGAGAAAATATGCCGTCGGCTGTTCTCAACGTTGCAGGTGCCATTCGGAGCCCTCTGCAAAGACAGTAAATTAAAAAGACTTACTTAGCATGATAAAAACTTAGCAAGTCGTGAGCCACATGATATTTTCCTGCCCTCTGATCTGTCATAAACATCCTATCTAATCTTAATGCCGTGCTTACAATGATACTCTCTTTATCAATAAATAAGAGAACACCTATTTTAAATAGGATAGAACACAATGTTTCTTTCAAGCAATACGTATTTTTTAAATTATGAAACAGCAAAAAAGGAATCTAGGGCCATGTTAAATTATCATAAATATCCCTTCACCGGTGAAGCTGGCGTGCAAAAATAACCAAACTGGATATTTCGGTTCATAACATAAATCCACTCATTTTTATCTTTTGATATCGTCAATGTCACAAATTAATTTGATTGTAATGAAAGTGACGCGCAGTTGTCAGAATACCTGTTGTCTATTTAAAATCAGAACGCATAAACACATCAAATGTATAAAGAAAATATACAAAACTTACAGAAAGCTCCTTCCAGTCGCAGCTCACACCCTGAGCTCTTTCTGTTTCCGTGAAGCAGATGATAGCCTCCGCCTTAACAACCAGTGAACACACTGAAACAAGCAACATGTCATTATTACATAACAGAAACTGTACATGGGTGTGTATGACTCATGGTTTTACACGTATACATCACGGTTCTGAGGCGCTGCCGGAGCCAAGCTGCTCAACTCCATCTGGTGGAGAGCTAGTAGATTACCGTAAGTCAATTTATACAGGTTTAAAGTACTTGTACTGCATTATGCACTCTTATGTTGTAATTTCAGGTTATTGGCTTGGCAATAAATATTTTAAAATACAGGGAATTTGCTTTCCCATCAAGCTGCTCCGTGATGTCTCAAATAAAGCTGTTTTTTTCAGGGTCTTCATCCACGTGTTAAAACGGTTGTTGATATTTTCTTGAAGTCTTCTTCTTTCGACTGTTCCCTCCTCAGGAGTCGCTACAGTGAGTCATCCTCCTCCATCTCTGTCCTCTGCATCCTCTGTCTTCCCTCCAACTACCTCCATGTCCTCTCTAACTGCATCCATATATCTCCTTTTTGTCTTTTTCTTGGCAGCTGGAGTTCCAACATCCTTCTACCAGTATACCCACTGTCCCTCCTCTGGACATGTCCAAACCATCTCAGTCTGGTCTCTCTAACTTTATCTCCCCATTGTTCTGTGCTGTACCTCTGATGATCTCATTCCTAATCTTAACCATCCTTGTCACTCCTAAGGAGAACCTCAACATCTTCATTTATGCCACTTCCAGTCATTTCTCCTGTCTTCTTGTCAACACCAATGTATCCAGACCTTACAACATAACTGGTCTCACCACTGTCTTGTAAACTTTTCCTTTAACGTTTGCTGACACCCTTTTGACACAAATCACTCCTGAAACTTTTCTCCATCCACTCCATCTTTCCTGGACTCTGTTCTTCACCTCTTTACCACACTCCCCATTTTCCTGGACAGTGGACCCCCAAGTACTTGAAGTCCTGCACCTTTGTGACCTCTGCTCCTTGTAGCCTCACTGCTCCACCAGCCTCTCTCTCATTCACACATGTAGTCTGTCTTACTACAAGTGACTTTCATTCCTCTTCTTTCAAACACATACCTCCACCTCTCCAAGTTCTCTTCCACCTGTTCCCTGTTCTCACCACAGATCAAAGTGTCATCGGCAAACAAACAGTCCACGAGAATTCCTGCTTGACCTCGACTATTAGTTAGTCCATCATCAGAGCAAACAAGAAGAGGCTTAGAGCTGATCCTTGATGCACTCCCACCTCCATCTTGAAGAAAGAAGAAGAAGGAAGTTCTATGTGTCGTCATCATTGTATATTTCTATACAATGATGAAATTTGTGCTCTGCATTTAACCCATCACATGTGAGATACGCCCAAACAGAGCAGCAGGCAGCTGTAAGCGCCCCGGGGAGCAGTTAGGGATCAAGCGTCTTGCTCAAGGACAACACGACATGTGAGCATGTCACTAACAGAAGCTATCTGTCACTTCTACAACACATCTCCCCACTGTCCTGCTGTCCTCACATGTCTAGCATACTTCTCTGCCACTCCAGATTTCCTCATGCAATACCACACCTCCTCCCTTGGCACCCTGTCGTATGCTTTTTCTAAATCCACAACGGCACAATGGAGTTCTTTCTAACCATCTCTGTACTTCTCCATCAGCATCCTCAAAGCAAAGATGTCATCTGTGGTGCTCTTTCTTGGCATGAAACCATACTGCTGCTCACAGTCACCTCTGGTCTAAGTCTAGCTTCCACAACTCTCTGTTCTTCATCATGTGGCTCATCAACTTAATTCCCCTGTTACTACAGCTCTGTACATCACCCTTGTTCTTAAAAATGGGCACCAGCACACTTCTCCTCCATTCCTCAAGCATTTTCTCACTCTCAAAAATGCTGTAAAATAATGATTGTGGGGGCAATACAAACATCATTCACCAGTAATCTTCACTTTGGCCAATCCTCAGGTGAGGACAGGGAACTTTGGTCAGCTTTGTATCTCATCAGCCCATTGATGAGGGGGATGGCCTCGTTTGCAGGTTCCTTCTGCTTTTCCTTGAAGGATCACATTTACCAAGCCCTCACTACATAAGAAACCCCCTCAATCTCTTCTTCTTGGTCTACAGGAAGAATCTCATGTTCTCCGGTGAGGACATGGCTGTAGAATAACTGAGTCATACTCACTGTCATCTCACCTAGACATGTCCACACCTCCACTGTTATGTCACGATGTCCAACCCTTTCTTTATCCTCTTCGAAGCTTCACTCTCACTAACCGTTCCCACTTCTTGGTCCTCAGTTTCCATGACCTCTACATTCTCTTTCATTCTCTTGTATTTTTTAGTAATAGCAGCTCCACAGGACTTTATTTTACAGGGCTAACCTAAATGATCTATGTTAAGTGTGAAGTATATGATCAAATTATGACAATGATATAAGGTAGTATAATTCACACCACTCACATATGAGCCTATTTAGAGCAGTTCAATCATTTATGGGGAAACCAAAGATGGCTTGGCACAACAACTTCGAAATTTTTATCTTTAGAGCAGTGGTGCCCAAAGTGGGGCCCGCGGACCAAAGTTGGCCCGGTCCGCCAAGCTGTCCTCATTACTATATTCAAATTTCCTTTGAAGTGTCAATGTGTTTACACTCAGTCATTCTGACTTTAATGTTAATGTTAAATGGAAAGCCAGCCCCATGACTACCTTAATGGCACTATACAGCTGGAGTGGCTAGTTTGTGCATTAAATTATTCAATTTTATGAATTTATATACATTTTTTGACAGAGCCAAGCAACTCAATCTGCTTTAAAACCTATGAGGATGTTGTATTCACAAGCACTGAAAGTTTTAGACCAAAAACCATTGAAGTGGCACCACTGTATAATACTGGAGAAATATAATTTCTTAAGCTTTGACAATTTTTTTAAATGTTCTTGTTTAAAATTGACTTTTAAATGCATTAATGGTCTTGTCCCAGAGCTGGTGAGCAGAATGATGTTAAAAGTCAGGAGTTGCACCACGAGGTGCAGTTAACGGAGACTGCAAACCTGCAAAATACAAAACATCATTTTGTCAATGTTCCTTCTCATTCAAAGGCCCTCATATCTGGAACAGTTCACCATCAGCAATAAAAACATTAACAGATCTTAGAGTTTTTAATTCCCAGGTGGAAAAAAATGGTTGAAATAAAACCAAATCTGTGAACACTGAGCCCCATGGGGATGGAGGATAGGCATGTGTGTGAAGAAACTGTTTAATTTTAATGAAATTTTAATTTTAATTACATTTTAATTTTATTTTAGCTGTTTTTATATAAAAGTCCAACCAAGGACTGGGTTTGCAAATTAGCCTGTGGCTAGAAAACCTTTGTACAAAACAACGGTTGCTTCGTTTTTAACATGTAACATTGTTTAATGTGCTGTCCTTGTTCAAATAAACTTGAATGAATGAATGAAAACTTCCTACAGCTTCTTGCCACTGAAAAACATTTTCCTTTGATCCTGCACATTTATAAATCACACATAAAGCATTTAAATAGTCTAAATAATAAATATGAACTGGCTTCAGTAGTGATTTTAGCCTCTTTTTGGGGACTTCTCAAGCACCCCTAAATTTAAACTCAGCGCCTCTGAAAAATAAATCATTAGGATTTTGTAAGGAAACAGTTCTCAAACCTTAGATTCACCAAAATATTGAATATGGAATAAACAACGACCAGTAAAATCTATGACTTTTTTTTTTTGCACGAGTCCTGCCACCTGTCAATCAATCCAGCATGTCAGCAACTGACCAATCAGCAACCTTAATTTGTCCTGAAGTGAACGCCCCTTACCTTCAGAGCTGCAGCTTTGCAGTCAGAGAGATTTCAATCATACCATACCATTTTATTTATAGAGCACTTAAAACAGCGACAAGGCCAACCAAAGTGCTGTACAGACAGAACAACAGGTACCACACAAAGCAAAATACAAAACGAAGTAAATCAGAAATATAGACATAAAAACGATGCAGATAATGACGACAAACCAGTGTAGAGCGTACAGGATCAAAACACAGATCCTCTGGTGTTGAAAGCTACTGAATAGTAGTGAGTTTTTAAACGGGACTTGAAAACCGAGAGGGAAGGGGCCTGTCTAACAAGCAGAGGTAACTCGTTCCAAAGTCTTGGTCCTGCTACAGAGAAGGCCCTGTCACCTCTGTGCTTAAGAGGATTTCCTGGAACTGTGAGGAGCAACTGGTCTGCTGACCTCAGGGAACGTGGTGGGACATCATGTGGTTACATATTTAGTTTCATGTTAATCTTCTGTAATAAACCTTTGTAAAATACACCAAAATGCAGGAAATGGCATCTACTTTATTCAAAATTCTCTGGGGGAGGATCCCCAGATCCCTCCACACCACCACCAACACAGTCTGTTCTGTGATGTTCTTTATACAGAATGGAAGATTAAATAGCTGCATAATAAATAAATAGACTTTACTTAAAGAAGTATTTGCATTTCGTGAATTGTTGCATTTGGCCCTTTCAGGGGAAACGTTTGGGCACCCCTGCTTTAGAGAAAAAGAGAAGAAGTAAAAAACAGAAATTGTGCAGGAGTGAAGCTTCTTCTTACACTCCAAACCTGCAGGCAGCGACAGAGAGCCGCAGCTGTTCTCTCTGCTGTGCGTAAAGAGCTTCTCTTTGGTTTCGGCGCAGCGGCTGTTCTCGCTCCGTGGATCCTCCCACTAACACAAGAGTGACACGCCATTCAATAGCTGCCTGGCCCCTGTGCGTGAAGGAAGCACGGCGAGTTGTGAGCCACCCAGGAGAGTCTCGCACCATCTGCACGGAAAGAAAAGCGCGTCTGTAGAGAAGGAGTCCGACGAAGCGCGTCGACATGGGCATCCGAAAGAAGACGAACAAGAACCCGCCGGTGCTGAGCCATGAGTTTGTCATCCAGAACCATGCAGATATTGTTTCCTGTGTTGCTATGGTGTTCCTGCTCGGGCTGATGTTTGAGGTGAGTCCACATGTTGAGTGGTTATGTCGGTGGATGGGGAGCTCAGAGAGCCCATCTGTGCGCTCAGAAGCCGACATGGCTATCATCTCGCTTCCCTTACCGAAAGTTTGTCTTGCACAATCATGGACCCGTGTTTGCTTTTATTCCAGGAATCAAATGTCTTTTTTTTTTTCTTTTTTTTTTTTTTATATAAATATGTGTGATTCACAATAAAGTTAGTTCGGAAGAAGAGCTCGCTTTCCATCTGGCGCTTTCTTATTCGCAATGCTTGTCTCCATATCCGTCATTTTGCTCATTTGAGAGGGGAGAATAAAACAAAAACATTATTTAGATGCGAACCTGTTTGCTTAAACATGCATGTGTTGCAAGTTTTCGAGAATCTGCATGGCCCCCGGCTGTTTGTACATGTTGCGAGGCTCGTCTACGTTAGTTTCTGCGTGCTTGTGTTACGTGGCAATCACACAACGATTGTAAACTGAAAGTCGCCCCTCGGAGCTGATGAGCGCGTTCAAAATGGCCGAGGTTAACAATCCGTTCATAGTGCGTTAAAAGTCTCCGTGCTCAACTTTAAATGCGCAGGTTTGTGTCATTTTAAAGTCTGTTTTCATGCTGAGCGGACAGAGACGTGCTGGAGTCCAGCCGGACACAGTTACAGCTACTTCCGGTTGGGGACCTTCAAAGTAAAACGGCAGCCCCGCAGCAGCTGCTGCTTTGCTGTAACAAACCGTAAAATAATTTGTTTTAAACTGGTCTCGGAAAAGCTGGAAGAGGTGGCTGTAGGAAAAGACGACTGGGCTGCTCTGCTCAAGGTGCTGGTCCCGCCACCCGACCCGGGAACAAACGATGGATGGATGGATGTGGGTGGGTGGATGGATGGATGGATGGATGGATGGTCCATCACTGACTTGCTACGAATCACATTTCCGTAATTATGATTGGGGGAGAGAATCTGGCACTTCAAATATTGTGATGTTAATATTTCAATTATGAGTTACTAACTCAGACCGACTGTAAATAAGAAACTGTTCTTAATGTCCTGCCTGGTCAAATGTATAATAACTACTACTACTGCCAATACTACTAATACTACTACTAATTAATAATAATTAATAATAACCTGATTTTTTCTAAATGTTAAAACTCAAACTTGAGGTTGCTAGGTCATTTATTTTGTACTTTTTTCATCATTTTTACAATGCAATTCATAAATTTGGCTTAGGCATTTTACATTTTTATTAATATAGCTTGTCATCTGTTGATTATAACATTAGCATGACTTAGTTTCACTGATGACTTAATCTCACAGATGACTTAATCTCGCCGATGACTTAGTGTCTCACGAATGACTTGGAGTCTCGCCGATGACTTAGTCTCAACCATGACTTAGTTTCACCGTTGACTTAGTGCCTCACCAATGACTTGGAGTCTCGCCGATTATTTGGATTCTCACCGATGACGTAGTCTCACCATTGACCTGGCATCTCA